TTCTAAGCCCTTGGCAACCAGTAAAAGAGTGTCCAGTGGAATAATTCTATACTCAGGCCGAGCTAAGATTAACCCCTTACGGATGTGTTCTCTAAGCCCTGCCACAAAGGCTGCAGATAGCATCTGGGTGTGTGCTTTGTTGTAAGTACTAAACCTTAAGTCTGAAAAAGTCTGAGTCAACCTAGAGTGATACTTCTCAACTGTCTCAAGTTTGTCCTGTATAATGTCATTAATGCAAGTAGCCTGATCTGCTAGTTTATCCTGTGCCCAAGCACGAAGCTGTTCACAAAAAATTTCACCAGAACGAAAGTCAGTATCAGAAGTAAGTGGAGCGTCATTAAAGCTCCGTTCCATGATTGGCCAGTATGCATCACCGGCTTTGATTTCACATAGACTAATAAGATCCCGCCAAGCAGCGGAGTATGTTTTACGGATCTGAGCCATCCGGCGGAAAAAGGGCATAGGGTGTTTTTCAGGATCAGGGAGTGAGGTCACAAGGGTAGCAGCTGGGAAGGGTTAAAGGTAACATACATAGGCGGTGCTCCATCCGCACCATGGTTGATCGGGATGTAACCTTGAGGGATAGTGTGCTGTTGGGGGAGCCTATTCACCCCCACCTGGGGTGAATTCTGGTCAACCACAACAACCTCTTCGGGCAACACTGGGCCACGGCGGAGGGTAGCCTCAGGGGTAGCTGTAGCGGGGACAACAGGGAGGGCTGTGGTAGGTAAGGTAACTGGGTGGAAACCCGAGGCCTGGGGGGAGGCACCCATTGCATAGGGCTGGTCAGATGTCCCAGACACCTCGGATCCAACCACCATGATTGGATAACTTGGACTGGCGGAAGGGACACGAGGGACCAAAGCCGTGGAAGGGGCTGTCACAGGGGCCGGGTGGGTTGGGCGTGAAAGGTGTGTATTTAGGACATGTGCAAGGGCGGAGATTGGATCGGAGGGCTCGGGGACTTCGGCAGGAGACAAGGGTGGGGTTGGAGGCTCGGGGGGCGGAGGAGGAGGAAGAGGAGATACGTCAATGGGAGGCGGTACGGGGATCGCGGAAGTAACTAGGGAAGTAACAGCAGTGAAGAGGGCGGATATTGAGCCGGACAGGTCATTGGTCTTGTGTGTGTCAGGGGTCACGGGGGAAGGGGTCGGAGGGACGGGACCAAGGGCCTGTGTCAAGGTCGGGGGGGCAGGGATGTCGGGGGGTGGTAACAGGGGAAAAGAGGCCGGGGGGATGGCGACGGGAGGTTGGGTTAGAGTGGTGAGGGCGGAGATCAGGGACGGCAAATCGGCCGCGGGAGTAGGAGGCAACAAGGCAGAGGGGGCTGGGGCTTCAGGAGGAGGTAACGCTGGAGGAGGAGTAGGAGGGGTGACGGCAATGGGTTGGGTTAGGGCGGTGAGGGCGGAGATCAGGGACGGCAAATCGGCCGCGGGAGTAGGAGGCAACAAGGCAGAGGGGGCTGGGGCTCCAGGAGGAGGTAACGCTGGAGGAGGAGTAAGAGGATCCTTGAGGATGGGAGGGGTATCTGTGGATAGGGGGCTGGAGGTAAAGGAACCGGGACTAACGGGCTGAACAAGATTCATGAGAGCGGAGAGTAGGGACGGGGGATCTTTGGAAGATGAGGAGGAGGAGGAGAGGGGATGAGAAGGAGTGGGGGACAATGGGGGTGCAGGGGTAGGGGTCACGGGGTTTCCTGAGGATACCGGAGAAGGAGAGTCGACCGGGGGACAGGGTTCCGGGGAGACAGGGTCGGTTGGGTAGGTAGGAGCGGGGGGCGTAGGACGTAGGACGGACGGAGAGGGTGAAGGAGCGGGGACTACTAGGGAAGGGGTACTCAAAGTGGAGAGGGACTGAGAGGAGGAGGGGGATGGAACTTCCATGGTCGAGGCGGGAATAGTCGGGGCAGTGCCCGGGGTGAGGACTGGCGCTGGGAAAGGTAACGGAGGGCATGGAGGTGGGGGGGCTCCGATGGACATGGCGGGATGATGGTTGAAAGAGGGGGTCTGGTCACAGGAGGGTTGGGGCATGGGAGTGGGTGGGAACGAGTGATGTGGCACTGGGAAATAGTAAGCTCCGTCTACACCGAGTACAGGACATAGGGGAGTGGGGGCTGTAGGCACACCCCCGGGGGGTGGGGTTTGAGCTGTGACGGGAGAAGCAGGGCGGGAATTTACTGTTGCGCTCTGGGCGCCATCATAGGGTGGTGGCCGTGGAACAATGGAAACAACATCATCATTGTGAACACTCCTATGGTAAACATGCACAATTTGCCCTTCAAATTCCAACTCTTCCTCGACCCATCCTTCCCGTTTCAAACCTCTAGCTACACGATACCAAGCCTCTGCAACCTTTGTCAGTCCGTTATCCAACAATAAACCTTCCTTATCTATGAGTAGCTTTCTCCAAAACTCCGGTTGCAATCTCCCACTGGGTAACATCTGAAAGCCACACACCTTAGCAATCTTTTTAAGTTTCATCATAGCATCTTCCCCTGCCCTTTCTTTCACAATATCACAAGCCAATAAACCTTT